GCCAAGAAAAAACACAAACATCAATAAACCCACATTCATATACTATAAAGGACATGAGTACAAGAAGATACTGTTGATAACAATAAWCTGTGGAAAAACCTAAAAGAATCACATTTTTATCCAGTTGAAAACGACTTTAATCTTTTAGATATACATAATGCTATTGTGTTATGCTACGAAAGGCCTTTTTTCATGTTTTTATCTGTCTGATTTTCATAGATGAGAAAATCAATCCTTAAAGGAATATTGTCACCATTTTTGAAATTGTGTTTTGTGTAAACGTTATAAACATATAATATCTTCCCTGCTGTAGTTAAGATTTTTAMACATTCTCAGTTTGGAAGAATAATTTACGTCCAAAGGGATTGGCAAGCTAACGGCTAATCCTAACAAAGTCATGACGAAAGTGGTCTCAAAACTGGTTCAATTCCAAGATTTTTATTTATTTATTTTTTGTGATGTGTGAATGCTTTTTTGTGAACCCTTATATCGCCAATAATTTCAAGGGATATATGTATTTAGATGGGATTCTGTGGTTATTTACAAGCACAAATAAGGCTAGGTTTCAGTGCTAGCCTCATAAGTTTACCCTGTAATTTTGGCCGGAGTTAAGACTAGACAGAGCTACAGCTAGCTGCTGCTGTCACTGCTGATTGTAAATAACCACAAAATTCTATGTAGAAAACAGAGTATTGAGAAACCGATTGAGGTGTTTTGTGTTTGCATAATTTTAATCCTGTCAGACTAAAATTATATTTGGCCAAACAGACGTTGTTCAAAGAGCTATCAGGGAAGATACTGTAAGTTGTCATAGCTTTTACACTGAATACCACTTTAAAATGGCTTAAATATCCCTTTAAACTTGTGTTGAGCTTTGTAAAGATCAATCAAACACTAATGTGAAATAGAGTCATTTATTCATCCTGCATATCTGGTTGTTGACCTGTAGAAAAAAAGGCAAAAAAAAAACAAAACATAAAATTCACAAAAAAATGTATAAAAATAAAGTTGATGTATTCTCTGCTTGTGTATAGTGAATGTTCCTCAGTCGCTGGGCACGGCAGCAGGGATTGGCGTACACCAGTCGACTGTGGCCGTACAGATCTGTTCATGACTTTTTTGTACACCTGCCTCTCATTGTTAAGGTGATAATAGTGATTCCTATGATTTCATCAATCTGGTAATGTGTTTTGTTAAGAAGTCACTAATAAAGTTTTTTTTTCTTAAATATCTTTAAACGCGTCATGATTTTCTTGAGTCTTATTAACACCATTTGTTTTGTTTCATGCTAAGATTAACGTCCAATAAAACCAATAAAACATAACAGAGCTGAAATTAGGTCCCAAATACTAATACAATTAGCAAATTACTACTCAAGTCATTACCTTAAACATCATTTTTACATAAAAAAAAAATTTCCAACACCTTAAAACCTAAGACATTTTTTTAACTTCACTGTGTTTTAATGAGTTGGCCATGAGTCAGACATGGATGCTGCACACTTGAATCAAGGTCTCCTTGATATGGTAATGAGAACTCCCTAAACCCATTGGGCTTTAAAAGAATCAACCACCTGAATCCAAACTAAATGTMCTCTTCAGATAAGAGACAAATGGTGAAACTTTGAAATCCACAAAACTCACTGTAGCTACACTTTTCACAGCAATTTGACACCTTTCCTACCATGTGCTTTTACTGGATTTTTGGTCTGTTGCACCACATTATTTAAGTCAGAAAACCTTTTAAGTGGGCGGCACAGTGGCTCATTTGGTGGCAAGGAGGTTGCCAGATCAAATCATCGTTCTTAGTTAATTCCATATTTTTTATCTTTTGCTTTCTTTATGTTGCAATCTTTAGATCCAGGGTTCTGTAACACCACAGATATGTCCGAGCCGAAGTCAAACCACAGGATTTTCTTACTGTTACAGTGACCTAGTTACTGAATTTATTTATTTATTTATTTATTTATTTATTTATTTATTTATTTATTTATTTGATAGAGATGATAGCTTTTTTCTTGTCTGGAAACCAAAAGAAAACAAAAAGAAATTATCAGAGGGTATCAAACTTAATTTTTTTGTGATGTCAGAAGCATTTAGCTTTTGTGATATAATTAATTTGAATACCTTGTAGATTTAAAGTCAGACCATTAAAACTGGAATTTTAAAAGTGAATCAAATTCAATATTTAAATCATTTTATGCATCTTTCTCTATCTGGGCTTTTGAGCACAAACATAACATCAAATGTGAAAGTTGACAGACAACAAAGTGTTTTTTCCCCTCATCAATAAAGGAAAACAAAAACTTGTCTGTCTGATTTTTTTAAACTAAACTTGTTCATGTCTGTAGCTCAGGCTCCATCTGTCTTTAGACAGAAGAAATGTTTCAGAAACACCAAACCCTAACAGCCTGCTTCATTTCTCCAACAGTGACACCTACTGATGAAAACAGAGTGTGGACTGATCCTAAAGAGGACAGAGCTCACACATTGTTGATAATCATCTGCCCCTCAGTGGCAGGGCATTAAAAATGCAGCTTTTCTAAAATAAAATTATCATCGGCCACAAAAACTTATGGCATTTATCTTTCTTTCGTTGTTGTCTAAAGACCAAATATTGGAGATTTATGTTGCATAGTTTTGTGTATGCAAAAAAAATAACCCATTTTGTGGCAGCTACCATAGATACTCCAGCATTTTTTACATTTCAAAGTCATAAAAAAGGTTCATAAAGTCTGTTGGTTTGTGTTCAGAGAGGACAACAAAGCCTAATATGCATATTGAAGCTGGAGGCAACATTAGTGTAACAGTGGAATTTAAGCATGCAAAAAGTAAATGACATGTCCTGCAGGGAAGAAAAGTTTACCAATTAGTATATATAAATTAAATATATATACTTAACTACTTCCTGAGTTTGTCATAGAGTCTTGCTACTTGAGTTTTCACAAAACAACATTTGAAATACACACAATTTTTGTTGCATTTGCCTTTTAGCATTGTATCGTAACTCAATGAAGGCCAAAAAAATAAATAAATCGGACAAGACAAAGTAAAGCTGGTGCTCTGTTCAGCCTGAGTGCAGGTGTGGACTGGCTCCATAATTAACCTGCATTCTGCTGCTCTCAGCTCCATCTGGACCACTTGCTTGCTCTCAGCCTGCACCCACCGCTGTGACGGCAGCTCTAATTCATCAGGCTTCATGGAAGACTCAAACTATAAAAATTAACACCAGAGGAAAGAACCAGTAGGGAGGAATATTTGAGAAGTATCTAAATGAGTATAAAAGTACAAAAATCACCACAAAGAACTGTCCTGCAGTGGCATTAAAACAGTGTTCATCAAAAGCATTTACCCYGAAATAGCAGTATATTCCTCACCGTTCAGCAGCTTTGGGATGATATTCTGCTCAGAACATCAGCGCAGTGCTCCCCAGGGATGCAGAAATGGGAAATGAGTGCAATCTCCTGAACACAGCAGAATCAGTCAAAGCTCAGACCTCACAGGAAGTGAAAATCTGATGACTGACAGCAGCTACTGTGCACTTTTTTAACCACCTGCTATTTTACTGTATTCTGGTAAAGTTATGTAACATTTCTTTTCACACAGACAAATGTGAAAGAACACAAAATATTAAACAACTAAGAATATTCTACTATTTCACTGTAGTAATGGAAATACAATAAACTTAGCACACAAGTGAGGGAATTCATGTTTGGTAGATTATTTCTTTTAAACTCTTAGCCAATAACCTTTCCATGGGACACCACTACAAAAGGTTCAAATGGGGGTATTGTGCATTTTCTAGGCACATGCTGTAGTTCAGTTCTACACCACAATCAATAACTGTTGTCTTCAGTTGTTGTCAAGTAAAATATTAATTTTCAATGACATATTTAAGATTTTAAATTGGTTTTAACTTAATTGCAATTATCTTTACCAGTTGCTAAATATAATGCTACAATATTTCTTCTGTTTTATGTGTACAAACAGTTGTGGGGATTTGTTCCTACACCTCAAAACTTTAGTTATGAGGACATTCACGAGTTCTTTCTGTGGGAAGAGTGAAAACCCCTCTCTGTGTAAATATGAGAAACCCACACACAATAATTTACCGTAGAATTATCAGAACTTTTATGAGTTAAAACATCAACAAGAATCGCGTACGCATCCGTACTACCGATTAATGTAAATATGACAACTCAGAAAGAACAGCACACTTTAGGTTTGAGATCTTGACAAACCAGATGTTTACAGGTACATGAACTAACATTGTTGATCAATTGTCTATCTTTCAGTTGCTCCGTTCTGCTGGGATCCCCCTAGCTGGTAAATTGGCATAAAATATTTGACATTTATTTTACACCAGATGCCTTGGGATTGAACCTGCAGCCTCATTATTACTGTATAAGACCAAGGCATTGACCACAGAGTTACTATGGCCCTTATGAATGCATGTATTACTGACAGTGTTATTTCGGAGGTTTTAAAGTACAGCATGTAAAACCATGGCTTTGCAGCTGAAATGAACTTTAACCTTAGAGAGACAATGAAAAGCACCATCCTCCTCCTCCAGAATATCTGATCGAGATGCCCTCTGGAAATCTACTTTTAGAGGTTTTCAGTGCATGTCCCACAGGGAGGAGACCCCAGGGCAGACCCAGAAACCTGCTGGAGGGATTATATAACCTCTCTGCCCTGGTAATATCTCAGGATCTCCCAGGAGGAGCTGGAAAAGAAAACACGAATTAATGGATTTTATGCTCCTCCTTTTTTAACATCCCCTCATAATTCTACAGCTGTGTTTTGATTTATTCACTGCTGCCACTTCATTTTGCTTTTTAAACTTGCTCAGCAATTTACAGACACTCCCTATGCCCCTGATGCAAGTCACTTTCTCTCTCCCTGTTTTCTATTCTTTCTCCTGTTCGCTCTTTACCCAGCGGCGGATCAGGGTTCTTGCATGTTGGGAAGGAGGACAGTGGCAGAAAGGAGGGGTGAGAGACAAGGGACGCTGAAGTGAGAGAAGAGGAGGAGAAGACGAGAGGCAGGACAGAGGAGGACAGAATGTGGTCGCAGCCCACCATATTAGGCTGCTGCCGTGTGCTGATAACAGAGTAAGCATGAAGCAGCAGAACCCAAACAGGAGAAGTGGATACAGGGAGGACACAGCTTAGCTGTCTGCTGGATCAATAAAAGGTAGATGGATTCCTACTCGGAGCGATGGTGAGGAGGATTTATTAGAAAGTGGTGCTTTGCAGGGATGACATGTCTGCAGACTCCTCTGAGTTTGAAATCTGCAATCAAAACAATTAACAAGCTGATGRAAAAGTCACCTCAAGAATCTGTGAAACCTTGAAGTAAAGAAAAGAAGACATATTCCAGCTGGATTAGAAAGCACTCAGGTAAGCTTAAACAATAAAAAAAAAAATAATTGACGCCAGCATTTATTATTATTATTATTATTTTTTTTTTTTTTTTTTTTTTTTTTTTTTTTTTTTTTTTTTTTTTTTTTTTTTTTTTTTAACTGAAAGAATGTGACTTTCCTGTTTCAGGACATGTTTTATTTAACTCCACCAAAAGAGGATTTAATGATGCATTAACGAGGCATGACAGTTGTCACTTATCGTTAGAGAGTGTTAACAGATATAGGTCACTTTACTGCGCTCAAATTACATCAACAACCAAAACAGTAGTCCCTTCTAGAGCAGATAATTAAATGCTCTCGCTGGCGTTTAAAATTGTCTAAACGAAAGCTGTCAAACACAAAAAAGAAAGAAAAAAAAAAAACAAGAAAAGCAGAATTTTGAGATGTTTTTGCAAAAACCGACAAAGCAAACAAAAAATCTCTAATTAAGGCATGCAAATATACAGAGATACAGTATATATTTTATAAAAAAAATACCCTATTGTCTAGGCTCTAGGGGCATACCGATTGCAGTTTTCTGCAGTCAAAGATCTTTAAAAAGTCTGACCTGCCAATTCCAACTTTGGCCGACACAGATTTTTTTTCTTTTTTATAACTGACACTTATGTATACACCTTCATTGTTTCAATCTTATTTTATTGAAAAATGTTTAAAAAATGCACTTCAAACAATACAAACTAGTTTTAACTGGACAAAAGCCCTCTTTCATAGGAGGTAAAAGGAGAAAGTGGCTGATTTTCAGACCTTTGCGGAGGTAGATGAGATCGGTGGATAAGCTCAGCTTCTCATAAGTATCGTCCGATCACCAAACCCCCCAAAATCAAAGAAAATCTGGGCCGATAAATCAACTGGCTGATTTTTTAGTGCACCCTTTAAAAACACCTTGTTGGTTGATAAACTGATGCGTAAGTGGGAAAATGACTTCCTGAAAATATTAGAAAGCTGGCACCTGCTTAATGTGAACATACAGAACCACACCAAAGTGTTACATTTTACACATGAAATTTTAAGATGCATTTACTGTCAGCTGGAAAACATTATAGTCTTTTATTCAAAAGGATGTAAAAACAGAGCAAGTACAGTTTGAATAAAGATTGCCCTTTGCCAAACACTGAAGACAGACTCTAAATGTACCTTGTTCGTAGCGTTTATATGATGGTGTACACATCCTACAACAGCCACCTTTTGCGAAATACAAAATTCAAGTTTTGTTTTTATTAAGTTTCTTGTCAGAAAACTTTTAAAATGAAATCATGATTCTTTCAATTGAGCTATATGTCATTTCCGCAGCAACGCGGTTTCTTCTCTCGGTTCTTCACTCCGTTGTTGTGTTGTTTCAGCTCATCCTGCTTACTCGTGGCTTTTTTATTTTTTTCATAGCATCATCTCAAGCGCCTGTCACTTTAAACTTGTTTCTCTCTTTGGTTTTAGACGGACATAATGGTGCAGGAACACCGCCGCTCCCTCGACTCTTCAGATTTCTGAATGCGGTCGGACAGGGGAGATGGGGAGGCGAGCGGCTGACCCAATGACTCCCGTTCCGGTTGTAGGAGTCCCTGCATCGGTTGGCGTGCGCAGCTGGAAGACAACAGGCGGAGCCCAGAAGTGGAGACAGTGCAGTGTTGGCATTCAGACATCCCAGGGGATTAGCAGCCCACCTGATACTCTCTCCAACAATGAAACCCAAACATTCAACAGCTGTATTTCCAAGGAAATGGAGGATGCCTTACTGCTGACAAAGAATAACAATGAGAAAAGGGCTATTTTAAGACAGAAAACTGGGGAAGCCAAGACCAGAAAGGAAGTGACTTTCAAAGCACTCAGAGGTGACGCCAGAGAGGATGATGGGACTTACTGTTATGCCAGGAGCATCAACACCAATCCTTTCATCGCAGGGACGCTTACAAGTAACAAAATTAAACTGAAACATCGTTACTTAAATGGCAGCGTGGTTGATTCAGAGGCCGTCGGTGGCATTAGCGTTGATAATGATGAGGCTGAGCCAGTAAAAGGAGAACCCTCTCATGGAAGAGATCATCATAATACAGATCAGTTGGCAAATATGAGACCATTATATGCGAGCCAAAGTTTAGCTGTGCCACAGGAAATATGCAATAACTCTGGCGAAGTGACGAACAAAGCCTCCGTACTGGGTGAGAACAGCCTTGATCCTGATGCGTACATTACAGAACAACCATTAAAGCCATCCCTCACCTCACTTTTTACTACTACTCCTTTTCAAGTTCCTTACAATGATACACCACAACAAAACCAGCAAAACTCTCAGATTAGCAGTGCCAAGAAGATTACAGTTAACCCAAAAGTATTTTATGTAAATAAAGAGCTAAGATACAGAAAAACACCCCACCCTGCTTGCCCTGTTCATTCCAGAGGGAATCTGGAAAATCCTCACGTAGCTAGTGACGGGACGTCCGTTCAACATGCAACCATCCTACATGCTGATAAAAACAAGCCTTTAGCTCCATCTCTACAGGATGGTAAGATCTCCCTCCCCACACGTTTCACACTGACTCCACAAGCGACCACAGCTAACAAACTAAATAACCCATATGCACACATTGACTCCAAGCTCCTCAAGACCACACACCGGAAATTGGCTGTGCACGGTATAACCGAGAACATGCCAACTCCACCACCCTCTTATGTATATGCGATAGCCATGAGGTCCAGAAAAACAATCTGTGCCGACGCATTCAGAACACACACAACGTCTGATGAGGACAAAACTGAACAGGAAACTTTGCARTCAGAACACAAAACACAAATCAGCAATGTAACACAAAGTCCAAATACCTTACAAGTAGCCCCTAAATGTCTCGCAGTATCACTGTCCACTAATGCTCTGAAATCAGACCATACAGCACATCCTCAACCAGACCCCTCTGAACTCGAAAAGACTTACTCAAGCAGCCCGTCAGCAGGTAAAATGGCTTTCATAGACACGGTAAGCGAAGCTCAATTCCCTTCTTTAACTAATCCCCCAAACAAGACCGCCAAACACACACAGAGCACTTTGAATCATGACGCTAATCCAGATCAGATTACACAAACAAGCGCTAAACATCAATCTGTGGCTGTGCAAATCACCTCAACTCCACTWAACTGCTCGACCTCTAAACCCACACKTCAAACTTCTGTCTCTTCCCTACACAAAAAACCCAATACATCACAACCTCCTGACTCTAAATCTGATTTGTCTGCGACTTATACCTCAAAAACTACACGTCCCAGTGCACCGGGCAAGAATGTAGCATTCAGGAGCATCAAATTTCATTTGAAAAAGACACCAAACTCCCCATTGTCTCTGCTCGCCGAAAGACAAAATAATGTTTTGGCAATGAGCACGAGCTCGCTTCAGTTAACAGACTCAACAAAAGTACTTAGCTGTAATGAAGCCCCTGACACAAACAAAGCTCATCACGTGCAAGCAACAGCCATGAGACATCAAGGGAGTAATGAACTTAGTGCTTGGGATGTCTTTTACAATCAGGAGAGCAGCTCCAGAACGGCTCCGCTGACATCCTCCGAGCCTCAGAATGTGTCAGGAAATCATAACAGTGATACTAAATTGACTTGTAATCCCAATGTGTTTTCAGATAGAAACAAATTCAAGCATAATTTAATCAATAAATTGGTTATAAATGAGTCCAAAGACCATGAAAATTCAAATTGTTCACACGTCACCAACACTCAGAATTGTGTTTCCGTAATTAAATCGAGCAGCTCCAGTTTGCAGGCCTGTCTCTACGCAGAGCAACAACGGCTCACACATTATCACGGAAGCGCAGAAAGAAACTGCGAGGGACGTTGTGCAACAAGCCCACCAGTGAAAACCGACACAGATTCAAATGCACATCAGTTTCCCCTGGGTGCAACAGCCAGCCATGCAAATGGTGAGCTTAAATCCAACGCAGATAGACAGACACGTCCCAGTGTTCCACCGCCCTCAGTCACAACGCAAACTAACCGTGGACCAACCAACTCACATGTAAACACACAGGTGAGACATAACACCAGCTCCCTGGCTGCTTGCCAAGACTCCAATTTTCTTATTACATTACAAAAACAAACACACACAACTCCAGCGCGTTCTGACACACTGCCAGTGTCGTTCAGCGGTGAAGGAGAGCTCTGTGCAGACGCAGGCCCTGATCGTGGGTCTATAGCGTCTGCAATAACCTTGGTCCGGCCCAGTGAGGTCCAGGCAAACAGCGGAGCAGAATCAAAGTGTCGCCCTCAGTTTTCCACAGATGACACCAGTCTGGCTCACTCCCACCCAGCCGATGCAGTCCTGTTGTTGCCGCCTTCCCCGCAGTGCTGCAAATCAGCAGCCCTGGAGCAGAGGCTCAAGGTGGTGGAGGCCAGCCTGGCAGCTAACAAGGACAGGATCACCACTCTGCTCAACATTATTCATGACCTGGAGACTGTCAGCACGCCGAGCAACCGGTAAGTGTGTGTTTCAGTGAGGACTTCTTCATGCTGTGTAGCTTGTTTATGAAAGTTTTAAAAATGTATTATTCCAACAAGAATGTTAAATTCAAAACATTATTTAACATATATCAAGTTGTTAAAATTTAACCTCCCTGGTGAAACTGAATGATAAGAGCTTAACACCTTACATAAAGTCCACTAGATTTGGTACTACTATGTGGCAACCCTGCACTGTTGATCTGTTGCATTACTTGTTCTTATTAAAACCATTCAGGGACCGTGAAAACCAATGGAAAATAAAC